CCCCGCGAACTGCGGCGCAAACTGCTGCCCCGCCTCTGCCGGCTCTGTTTGTTTGTCGCCTCTGTTCACCCGCTCTGTTTGCCTCCTCTGTTCGCTTGCGCTCCCTGGGGGCTGCTCTTATCCGTGAGGGGGTTTGGCCGCTGTCACACTCGACTCTGCCCCCGCTGAGTCAGAGCTGCCGCTCGCTGGCACCTCCCGCTTTCCCGCTCGGGGCGGGGCTGGGGTCTTCTTTCTCTCTCTCGGCGCTTTTTGCCGCCTCGCCGCTGCGGTTTTGCCACTGGAGAAAGGGTCCCTCGGCGCGAGCCTCTGCTCCAAAGCCCTTCACCTTCAGTAGCTTCATGTCATTTCAATGACATTTGAGAGGTGGGAAAGAAGTGGCACAGAGGTCCTGAATAAAGGAATTACTATTAGGAATTCAAAATGCGTGATCTGCTCTAATTTTCTACCTTAGAAAGATTCTCAGAAGGAGATCCGAGGTGATTTTTGAAAAAGCACCATACAGCTGGTTTTCAAAATAGTTGTCCAATCTATACCCATATATGATGGAGTGTTTTACAAAACCCATTTTTAACCTCGTACTCAACAATGCAGAATCAGTGGGCCAGATTCACTGTTATGCTGTATAGATATGAAGCATGAGACAACAGCGTCTTTGTAACATGTCTACATTTTTACCATTTTAACAGCCTGGGCACTGATTAGTGCCCAACAGAAGCTACCATTCTAATCGACTGTGATGTTACAAGTAACACCATTAGTTGATTTGTGGACGCAGTTCATCAGCTGTTGAAGTTTCCAGTGAAAGTCCTTGCAATGAGATTATGGGAAGGATGCGGTAAAGCCCCTCGCTTTGATCCTGAAAGATGCCTATGCAGGGGATTACTCCTCTGTGAGACTTAGCTTCATGGCATCCAGAAAGAGAACAGGTATAGCCCAGAAGCAAGCCCAGTTCTCAAAATTGAATCTGTAAGTCATACCAGCAGCCTACTCAGATTTAGCTATTAACTGTCTAGAGGATCATTGATGAGAGGAAAGGGGAAATATAATAGAAATACTTATCAGCTAAAAGCAAGTGAGATAGTGGATTCAGCAGCTAGCTCCCAAATGGACATTTCACAGGGCTGTGCTGTTTGCTGCTGCCAGTGGTAATGGCCAGCCAACAGCAAACCAAGCAAGTTATGTGCCTGTAAAACAGTACAGGCTATCCCAGCTCTGACTTCTCCCAGTGTCTGAGTGCTTAATCTTCCAAACTTTCAATTCATAGATGTATTTGTGCGCAATACACATTACAAAGACTAAACCACAACTGATACCAGAACTCCGACAATATACAAGGTTCCCTAAGAGAACTATCGCATGTACACAGATCTTTCCACAGGTAAATTGACAGCCTGTGCAGCTTTGATTGCATCACCTGCAGATTTTCTTTGCCAAACTGAACTTTTTTGTAGGAGAGTAATAAGGGAAAAAAGTGTCCTGTCTGATCCTGTCATTAGTTTAGAAGCAGCAGCTGAGATTAAAAGAAAGCAAAAGAAATGTTATGATTTCTATAACTGATACAATTTTTACAAAATTTCTGCAATAATAGGAAATAAATTTCTGAAAGAAGTGTATCAAGTAGATGTTCCGATTTTTTAAAAAATTTTCAGCTGTTAGAGACTGGCAGTGTTCTTCGATTTTGAAGAAGCATGGTTCTTTGCTAAATAAAGCAGCTTTGATTTCAGCTTTGTCTGCAGACACCTGGCAGGCCACAGTATCTTGCAGAAATAGGAAGCCAACTTTAAGTGGGCTGGAGCTGGGCAATGAGGCACGGTGGTTTTATCACATGGCTACACTGAGCATTTGATACAGACAGAATCAAAGCACATGGTGGTTAGGAGTGTACTGCTCAAGGTGGTATAACATACAAAACAGTACACTGATACCTCTTAAACGTGATCTTCCAGCATGCCAAATTGAAATGAAATGCTCTGGAAAACAGAGCAAAATACATGTATATGATTTTGCCTCCTAATGTAAAGCCTTGTTTATGGTGACAAAACAAAATGTTAGCAATTTGGCAAAAGAGAATAAACAACAGAAAAGTTGCTCTCTGACGCCTTATGCACTGAAAATATTTGCAGTTGCTACTATACCAGTGTCTTAGGAGCTGTAATATCTCTTTTTCTTCTCCTAACACACCTACAAAGTTTACAACACAGGAAAGTGTCCAGTAGAAGGCTACACAGCTTTAACATCATTTTCAACATCCAAGGTTCTTGAAAGATGAGACGTTATAGCTCTCCAGCAACGAATTCTACCATATAAAAGACTGGCATTGGTTGAAGAAATACTGTCCTTACTAGAGCTGGACAGAAACCCAGGTTTTTCTATTTTCCAGAAATTTCATCTACTTTATATTTATTCAGAAAAGAACTAAAGCCAGAAAAAAATGAAAGCTGAAAAAGAAAACACCTTCACATTTAAGATCAAATCTTTGACAAAGAAATATTTCAGGTCAACCAAAAGAATTGTTTTAGTGAAATTTAGCCACTTTATTGACTGACTTTTTAGTTTGCATTTTTGGTCACGATAGTCTCAAAAATATATTTCAAAATTATAAAATACACAAAAGTCAAAATTCTAATTTCCCTTACTCATTAATAAAATAGTGTCTATTGAAAATACATATCAGCCAAATCTTTAATAACTCCAGAAAATTTCAGACCAGCTCTAATCCACCTTTTGCTGAATTTCAAAATAGCATTAATTCAGAGCTTACTTCCAAACTGCTATTTCACATCAAACACAATTGCAAGTAAAAAGTGCTTTTTTCAGCAAGACTATTTTGGAATAATGCTAATACTAGCTTTGATTTGAACAGAGCTTGAGAAATATGCTATCCCAACATTAGAGCAAGAAGACAGATCTCCGAGTAGTGGAAGACATCAACAAGTCAACAAAGATGAATATTATTTTAATCTCTTTCCATCCATTGGGGAATTTCAGAGAATGAAACTTTATTGCAATATGATTGCTTATACCAAATTTTTGAGAGGGCTAAATTACATGTATCAGTAGAGAACTTAAAATAAGCATATAAGAAAACTAAACCACTAGTTCGGGGTAAGACAGGTAATGCTTTTGCCACTTCTAACACTGTGAAAAAGCATCAATTTCATATGCTTTTGCAAAAAAGAGTCATAATGCTAAGCTACACAAACTCTTTAAAAATAGAAGCATATTTTCCATCATATTTACCATCCACTGCTCTCCAGAAAGCTGAAAAATAAACTTGTTTCTTGTTTTATTTTCTTTATCTGACAAAGCATGCCTCTTCTGGAGCTGTGGAGCCTTTCCATAAGTGTCCAGGATCTTCTCATCAGTGTTTACAAAGCCTTTCCTTAGGTATTTTGATTGAGGAATGCCTTTCTTCCGGCACTCTAGTATGAAATTCCATTCCGGCAAATAAATCTTTAAGCCTGATCTTTATTTGCACAAGCATTTAACAAAATATACTTATGCACCAAATCTATTGACAATTTAGGGGGAAAAAAAAAAATAAAGAAAAAGGCGTTCCTGGAGTCACGCTTAGATTTTCTGGACTTATCTATACATTTCATATGAGCAGGATTTCATTTACTAACTACAGAGACACCCAGGGAATAACGAATAAATGGAGACTGAGCACACCGTCACAAAAAAGAGTATTTTGTTTCAGTAGGGTAGGAAATGTATTTGTTCATCTATGTAATTTTGTTTGTATATGTTATTTATATATACGTAACATATATAAACAAAAACAAGGACCTGGTAATTGTTCACAAGATTTTTCAATTGGAAAGAAGTAAATTTATAAAGTAAGAATTGAAAAATATTCCTTTTTCCCTTCCCTTTCTTATTGAAATATAATAATCTGTTTTCATTGTTTACACGTTATCTTCCAATATCATCTTAGAAGGTGGAGGTAAAGGTCAAAGTTATCACATGCGAACCAATTTCAGATTCAATTTCAGTGTAACTTTAGGCTCACGTTCAGGGCAAACTTTTATCCATATAACCTCAGGTGCAAATTCAATTTGATATAATTAAGCATTGCCAAAGCACATGCTTTAATTTAAGAGAGATTTATTTCAGCTTAGTCAATTAAGGAACAGGTTGATTTACTGAAGCAAGCCTTCCTTCTACCAAAATAAGACTCTGCAGAGCCCCTTGCTTCATAAATCTGATCTCATGTCTTGAATACTAAGTTTTTGTGGTACATGAGATTCATAGGCTGATCTCCACCCTCTGGCAGAAATTTTAAGCTAAAGACTTGAAGAAAACTGACAGGTGAAGAGGGGCACAAAGTTTAGGACAATGTGCCCCCTAGAGAAAGTAAAAAATGACATGTCTTAGAAAGAGAATCAGATGCAAGTTTGTAAAGTTCAGGTAGGCAGTAACAAAACCTGTATACAGATTCCCAGCTAACTGTGGGATTTTCTCTAAAATGCTAAGACGTTAAAACGACACACGAAACAGAATGTCTGGTTTTAAGTCACATACAAAGAAATCAATTGCAAACTTAGATGCAAGAAGCAGTAGATTTTGCATACTCGTAGCAAGATATAAGATAGAAACTGCAGGGCAGAGTGTATTTATGGGAATGTGATAGCGTAGATTAAAAGCCATATTTGAATCAATGCTATCGAAATAAATCTTTAGGGATCAAAACTGCATGCCTAAATAGGAAAGGTATTACCGAGACAGCTGTAAACCGCCCAGCACAAATTGTGGCTCTTACTGAAACCTTAGGGTATGTTGGAGAGACCTGAAAGCGGAGAGCACAGCAAGAGCAGGAGACTTCAGCTATCAGCATACACACAGCACACTGACACACTGCAGACAATATACTCTTTTGGAAACTACGTATGACTCTTTATCTGAGCAGCTAGCCTGAGAGACCACAAGAGGACCTGATTTAGTTTCAGGGAGCAGCACACTGTACATGGGTCGTCAGAGAACTACAGAAAACGCCTTCTGTAATAATGACTGCAATGTATTCCCACTAAACTTCCATATAAAGAGAAAATAAAGAAAAATATCTTCTACAAATATTTCAGAAGATGAGCTACATATAACAGTGAAGTTGGTTAAAAGTGCTGTTCACTGGCAGACTGCATGAAGACAGCATGTCAGAGTAAGTACATTCTAATGAAGCCACTGCAAGGATCTCTTCATCCCCTGATCTCCAAAAAGAGAAAAATTAAAAAAGATAAAATGGCATGTTCAAATGAAGAAATGAGAAGGTATTACATGTTCTGATAAATGAAGTGCAAAAGCACAAAAAGGCAAGTGAAGTCACTTTCTGCAGGTATACAAAAGACTAGGAAAATGATTTCTAGGGTATCAGAAGCAGAAAGCCTCTCAGAGAGACTGTGGGAGCAATAACTTGTCAAGGTATGAAAGGAGCAGGGAAGGAATAGTTAAAGAAGAGAGCTGCAGAAAAGTTACTTATACTTAGTTTCCGTTTGCATTAGAGACATCAGTATGCTTTTTACAAGTAAGCATCTGGAGGACTTTGTGATGTTTAAAGTGTCAGTAGAGCAGATGAGAATGAAAAAATACATATTTGAAGTAAATTTTCCAGTTTCTTTCAGTGTCTAATTTTGGAATGCTTTATACCACAGCGGGCTGTGATATGTAGACAAGTTAGGAAGAAAAAGACTGGACAGACAGAAAACATGTCCAGCAACACGTTCAGCTCGGGGAGTCCCTGTAGGGGTACTGAAGCTGCTATTGTAGTCAAGCATGAGTCCACCACCAAACCACAACGTCTCAAAATCTTTTCTGAAGCCACTTGATATAACAAAGACAATAAAATAGGTTAGAGCAGACACAGCTCCTTAGCTCATTTCGTGACCCTTCAGCATGCTGCATCTGATACTGCTGGTTAGAGAGGGAGAGACACCTGAGCACCTGATTGCACTAGGAAGCCCTACCAAAGGGTATCCCCTCCAGCTGCAGTCCGAAAGCGCTCAGATGACACAATTTTCTGTACTGGCAGACATGAAAGTTGAAACACCTCTTTCAGGTGCTTTGACACATGAACCAATTCAATTTTTAGTGTTGATCTTGCCTATTCAGTCTGTCATTTGAACCCCAAAGACTACCATCACAACAGAAAGCACACAATCCAATAGCAAGCAATCGCTAGGAAAAGCTACAACATAACACTTTCATATACTATAAGAAAAATAAACAGGCCCAAACCACCTAGTCATCTTTTTTCTAGAAGTCATCTACCAGTATCATAGCGAAATAGCTATAAAAGCTATGTAGTACTGTGGGAGGTGGGAGAGAATTGAAGTGGGCAGGGGGAAAAAAAAGAGTTGATTCAATTGCCAAGGAAGAGAAAAACAGAAGAATCTGAACCATTAAAAGTCAGGAACTGAAAAAGACCAAAACCCTGGCATTTTTTTTTCTAAAATCTTCCAAATAATCCTAGCTTTACTTACCACTGCTGTACTGCTTTTCTCACATCCTCCTCCAGTCCTCTACACACAGCTTTTCTGTCCCTCTCTGAAGCTTAACTCTGCATTACTGCCCTCTCATTTCCGTGGAATGCCTTGATTTTCTACCAAAGCAATAAACATTTGATCTCAGCACATAATTCAATGCACTGAAAAAACTTGCCCCCAAGATTCTTTTCTTGTATTCATTGCTCCTCCCTCATGCACAAAAAATGACAGACTCTCTCCTGGCAGTATAAATTCTAAGAACATTAGAAACTCAGCAAACAGAAAGAAGAGGTCAAAAAGTCTAACTCTTGATAAAAAGTAAGGCATTGAGCTACTCTACCTCAGTGCTGGCTCTGTCAAGTAGACCCCAGGAACAAAAGAGCAAAGGGCTCAGGTCTCAAATTCTACTCTCTCACAACAAGGAATATAGAAAACAGCAAGAAAGGAGCTAGATTAAAGATGACAGAACAAACTGTCCTCTGACACTTTGCTGATAACAGATACAAAACACAAATCTCAGGAGGTTATGACACATTGTTAGCCACATGAAATAAAATGCACATAACAAAAACCGCTGATAACCAAATTAGTCAGTGAAATATTGACCTCAGAAGAAAGACAAGCATTAAAAATTAAACCTGATTAAGAAATCTTACATGGATACCTTGCACTGATGTGGAAATCCCGTGTCAAATTTCTTCTTTACTGATACACTAAGTGATGGCAACATGGTCTGTTAAGCTTTTAAAGAATGCCCACCTACTGTCACCAGGCTAAGCGCTATGTATGAGCACGTTTTGAACAGATGGAAAGTGAATTAATAATGAAGCAACAAACATGCATAACTTTGTACATTACATCTCAAACTGAAAACATGATACCTCCCAAGGGCAGCGGGTCCAAAACTTTACAACCCCTGCTTATACCCTTGGGGTACACACTAACCAAATGAACCAATATAAGCCTTCCTGGTCTAGCGGTGTGACTTACAACAATCCCATATGTATCATTACGCAAAGATTTCAAAGCTGTAATCAAAGTGATTTGTTCAGCTACATGGCTGTCACTCAGCTCTGTCATTGTCTAAAAATTGAGATGATGGTACTTCTTAAAGGATCTTTATGAAAATAAATGCCATTTTAAGTCTCCCCTTGGTGACAATCCTCAAATAAAATAGAATTTCCACCACACTTGTCATACCTGGAGGCTATTGTGTAAATCTTAAGGAAAGACAGGAAAGGCATCTAAACCAGTGATTCAAACAGGAAAAAAAAATGAATCATACCCACACAAATAAAATCAGCCTTCAAATATACTAAAATACTTTTAGAGAAATTAAATTTATGATATTCGCACTTTAAAGGCTCCTGACAGTCCACAAACATATTTTCACATATGATAAACAAATAAGTTGGTTACAAAATCACAGCTTCCCTGAAGATTATGTCTTTCTATTACTATTCAGTCATATGTTTCCAACATTGCCAGCACAGTATAACATTTCACTGTCTCTAATGAGAACAATCATAAAGAAAGCAAAATACTGGTTAAAGAAACCATAAATTAAGTATAATAAGAACAATAACCTGATTAGTGGGCATAAGGTTATAATCAAGGCTATCTTTGAAATTTGAAGAAGAAAAAAATCCTCTGATAATTCTTTCATTCTATCCTCTCTCTTTTATTCAGAAGCAATTGTTTATTTCCATTTATTTAATTCCTTTTGTTTCTCCTGTCAACTCAACAAAAAGACTTAAAAGTATTTCTTAGTAATTAATTTTCTGAGCATGTTTTAATGAATTCCATAGTAAAAAGCCATTATTTTATATAGTATACAAGCAATAGAAAGGTACAAAATGTGTTATTTCTCACTTCAAATCTACACAGTAGACAATACAATACACCATTGGTAAATCACAACCTACATAGGAAAGAGCAGGGACTAATGATATACAAGCACAGTTTGCGCTGCATTTCTCTTACAATCATCAGAGGAAAGGAGGCAAGAAATCATTGAAATCCAACTCCAAAAAAACAAAATTTGAATCATTTGATAATGCTTAGTATTTGTCAGTGTTAGTGGGTAATAATAATGGATTCAGTTAAAATGAACAGCAGAAGAGTTGGCTTACTTCTCCAGTGAGCTTTTTTCTAATCTTTCTTTCTCTTTCCTCTGACGTTCTTTGTTCTTCTTGACTCGAGTTTCCCACAGTCCTCTTATGAGAGAAAAGTCAAATATTATCACCTGATGCCCCATTCTGTCGACATTAAGCTTCTCCTGCAAGAACAAGTCATCATGAACACTTCTGGAAAGAAATCATGAGAAAAATAAGGAACTATAAGCTTCTCCTGCAAGAACAAGTCATCATGAACACTTCTGGAAAGAAATCATGAGAAAAATAAGGAACTAAACTATCATGTTTCATTAAAATTATCTGGGAAAAAAAGGTGAAATCTTAAGAAATGTTAACATAGTATGCTTTCCATCTTGCCTAATTTGTCTAGAGTTTTGTGCTGGCAGTCATCAACGTAGCGTACAATTGATTTCTACGTAAAAACTATGGTAACAGCTAAATGTTGAATTTTTTGCATTCCTTGCACTTTTCCCTTTCCAAGATAAGGATGCAGTTGCAAAGAAATGCCTATTTGATTAATACTGATGAAAATAACTTTAAAGACTTTGTATTTTTAACAATTTATGTAGCTAATATAGAAACAGGAGCTCATAAAGAATGTATTTATTATAAATCATGCAAAACCACTTCATCTTGAGTTATCATGTTTCAGTCTTTATGCGCCCAAGCGACGCTGTTCCGTCGGAATTTGGGAATTTCCAATGATTGCACAAGCAGGTGCTTATCTGTGAAAGACATTGAAAGATCAGCCCTGTAATATACAATCAAAACTTACCTAAGGCAGAGATAAGGCGAAGGGTTTGTGAACACATGGTGCTTTTATCAGCATGCGTAGGATTACCTTGCAACAATCGAAGGCTTAGTAGCAATGTATTAGTTCATGTACAGTTAATAACTGAGCTGAACTGGACCCTAACTCACCAAGCTTTCCATACTCTGTTAAAACCACAGGAATTTCTTGTGGGAACCTTGCCCCTGCTGATGTCTGTGACAAAACTTTCAATTCCTGTAGCAGGCGCGATGCTTGAGCTTGACCCAATATGAACGCTACCTTCTTTTTACTCGAGAAAAAGCCACACTGTGAAACCTTTAACAATGACGAGAGATGAAGACCTCAGATTTACATCTTATGAAGCATACCATGACTGGCAACATGGTGTTCCTTACTAAAACGTAGCAATGGTTCAGTACCAACAAAGAAACAAATCACCTGCTAAAATACTAATGCAAGTACAGATCAAAATCTTGATAAAATATATAAAACTGTACTCTCTTGCTTGGGGTCACTGACAAAGAGTGCAATCACCACAACAGAGTGGTTTTCGTGAAATGCAGCTAGATTGTCTACAGAGGACTTCTGCTTATTTCTCATAAAATGGTTTGCTGAACCACTGTAAACAAGTCTCACAGAACACAAGTTCAAAGCTTTTTAAAAATAATTGCTGCTACCAGATAAAAACAAAGAAAAGGAAAAATAGTTAAACTTTGCTTGAAGTTTCATTAGATACCACACTTATACCATTCATAAGCTTAAGAACAAAAAATACAGAAAGGAAAGAAAAACCCTTTGGACCATCTACTGAACATGTAAAAAGCAATCTGCTCCTTCATTTAGCAGGTGTTTTCAAGATTATATCTACTACTTTTTCCTCAGACCTTACTGTGATCTTTTCTTCCAAGCTCTATATCCTTCAGCTGGGGCTATTTATTATCTGTCCTTCTGTTACAATACTGAGGAGGAAGGGTAAATTACTCTCCCCTGTGCATTTGTCCTCTTATAACTTCATAACTGTCCCTTTTCTCTTTCACCCCTTTCTGCCTATACATCTCCCTCTAATACGTAACACATAAAGGAATAATTTCTTCTGAGCCAGTAAAACACCCTCATGTCCTCTAGAAAATGCACAGCATGGACTAAAAAGGATTATGCATAGGAACACCAAGCGGAAAGGTGCCTTCCTGTCCACCTTATTTGTTGTCTCAGTAAGAAACACCCTCACAAATACCTCCAAGTACTGGCACTGAGACTGGTCAGAGACCAGTATTTTTCTATGACAGTCTTCTGTATCTTAGGGTGTTTACACAAGCTGCTATCTTTGCTATTCTTAAAGCTGCTCCCATTGCTTGTTTATCTTTATGAGCACTAACAATGAGGCAAAAACAGTTCCCAACCTATCTGGAACTGACTGCTGACAACAGCTGAGTCAAAACCCCATTAATAGCAGTGTAATGAGAATGGTGACCTTATTCTCAGTGGAAAGGTTTATCTATAATCAGCTGCACCCTTTTAAAACATATTCACTAATAGTTTACAGGAAACTGTTTACCATAGAAAAGAAAACCTTCTCCTCTGCTGTCCAAATCCAGAAACCAAATGACAAGGACTTCCCCTCTCACAGTAGTTGTAGACCAGCAGTCACTCTGCAGGACCTAATTCATTTTAATAGACCAATTCATATCAGTGTGTTTTGTTAGAAGGGCTATTGCTGGAGCTGACTTGCTGAGAGACAGTGAAGCAGCAGCTGGACACTTGACCTCTGTTGGAACTAGATGGCCTTAATCAACACAAAGTCTGAATAAACTGTGAAAGTACTCTATTTACTTGGCTTGTTCCCCACCTTCCTGTCTCCCAGGTTAAGTCATCTGTTCTTTATTGAGACACTGATTTATTAGACACTCAGGCTGGAAAAGTTCGTACAGCTTTTATCCACAAGTTGGATTAGGCTGCAATGCATAGGGGTTTTTCTTCAATGGTAAAACCAAGCAGAGGAAGAATGTTGGTGGGAGGTGAGAGGTGTCCATCATAGCTCCTCAGAACTAATCTCTTCAGAAGCAGCAAAGCCACAAATACTGACCAGATCACAGGGTGGCTAAGGCTTTAGAAATATTCACCAGGACAAACATGAAATTTTGTTGCTATCTACAACTCTGAAAAGGTCACCCAACAACTTTCACAGGTCTGTTGCTTCACCTTCTATCCTAGTCCAAAAAACGGACATGAAGAACCAAGCATGATGGAAGAATGTGTACTTCCCAATGTTCAGATGCCACCACCGTCCTGATTGAGTTATTACCCAGAAAAGACAGCCTGGCAAGCTGGCAGAAACTAAACTTATCTGAACCTAGGCATAGGTTCTTCAGGGTACTTACTCATGCACAGCAAGAATTTGTGACAGAAAAAGCAACTACCAATTATAATTCTCATTTCTAGAAACACATAGGTCTGTACCTGCTCAAGTTCACATACAGCAGTTGCTTTCTTCCAGTCATCAGGTTAGACCTGCATAAGAAAACTCAAAGCTATCATCTATCAGTCACAGGTGGAAAGTTGTATTGCATGGAGAAATGCCTAATTATAGACTTCTTCCCAACTTCTTCCTTTCAACTGGCATTCCACACCTGTGTTCACTCCCATACTTAGGCTCTTCACAGATAATCAATATTAGCATTTTACCCATTGTCAGAAATCACTGAATCAATAAGGCTGGAAAGGGCCTCTGAAGTTCACCAAGTCCAACCACCCTGCTCAAAGCAGTCACATGGTTATTCACCCAAACCTACACATGCTTCAGCCCCCTTCCTCTTCCAATTTTCCCGTCCTTTTATAATTCAGTATTACTCCTTTCACACCCCATACTTACACATGCTCATTAAGGCCAAGCTTTGCTCATACTTGTGAGGATTACCCCACCCACTATTGTGACAGTAAGTGAAAAACAAAAACCATGTTGAAGTTATTTCTCATCCAAGGATCAGGAAAGTTTGCTTTCATTAAGGACAAGTTCTGACTACAAAAGCAACCATCACCTGCATCTGCAAGGCCCTACTTCATTACTACACTGAGTTTGCAGCTTAATGCCATCTTCCTTGGGTAGTATCTATATATAAATTATGCTGCAGATCATCAGCACACCTTTCTTAGACTATGCATGATTATAACATTCATTCAGTCTTACAAGTTTTTAGTGAGATATAGATCACAAAGCAAGGCTTTTCAGTAATATATGATAATCAAAGCACAGTGCTTTCCAGAGGAAAAGGGATTCAATAACATAAAGAGAAGGCAAAGGTGTCATTTACAAGAGAACAACTTGTGGAGAAAACAGTTCTCTGTGTGCTTCTGTGGAAGCAACTTTATCCCTAGCCATTTACACCTCCCAAGCAGTAATCTACAAGGCCTTAATCAGTATGCTTAAAAGGCAATATACTGGGAAGTCAGTTTGATTCCTTATCTTTCTCATAGTTGTTAGCTCAGAAACAAAGCTGGCCATTCAGGATCCATTTCTTTTTTTCTAATGATTGCAAGATTTTCCCTTCATAAGCAGCTACACATTACATTTGAGGCAATATTTTTAAGTAATATGCACTTTGAGTAATTAATTTTAAAATAAAAAGAGCTTTTTTGATAACATGTATTTGCATTATTCAGGAAAGTGATATTAGATTTTCTAATTAAAGAAACTTGTACTAATGGCGGAGGAAAGAAGTTTCCCTTTGCTTCACTCCTTCCCTCTCTTTACACTTCTCTTAAGAAGAGGGGGAAGAAAAAAGTAACACTTCTCTGAGAAAAAAAAAATTTGAACACCATGGACTTTACAATGTCTTCTTTTCCTCAACTAACAGGGGGCTAGGTCATCTACCGCCTAGTCCCAGTTTTCATCAATAAGGGACTCACAAGAATCCTCACAACCAGCATTTCCCCTCTCTACATTCTAAACCACAAATTCATATTTCTGCCCTCAGGACTGTACGTTCAGTCCCAGATGCTATGACTTACAAACTTTTCTCAATTTCACTGTTCCAGAGCCCTTTGCTTTCACTAGCACACCTTACCAAGCCTCTCTCCTCTGCAACTCTGTCAGTCTTGACCTACTGCAGGCCCCATCTCAGCACCAAAACCCATCCTTACTTCTTTCTGGGTAAATTCAATAATCCACCACCTCTCTGGGCCAGCTGAGCTGAGGAGAAGCACTTGCTCACATAAGAGCCCTCTTTTGCTGCCAATACTTGCTTTTAGGTGTCTGATTGTCATGAGCTATCGCTGCATGCATGGAACAGAACAAACACCTTTACAGACACTTCTGTGAGATTTCTGGTCTTAAAAAGAAGCCAACACTATTGT